GCAGAGCTGACCAGCCGATGTCGATTTGCCTCTTAACATATTGAATCTCCCACAGCTGCGCAGGGCTGACACTCCCACACCATCTCAGCACTGCAGGCAAGTGCTTTCTCAGAAGTTCAGCATCTCCACAACACTTTTGGGTACCACATCCCTGCCCTGCACTTGTCCATCACCCAAGCCCCTGCAGCTATGCTGTGCAGATGCAGTGGAGACAGTCCCTGCTCTGACAGCCTCCAGGATACATCCTGCAGGACACAAGTCCTTCCCAGGGGAGTGAAGGACAGTGAGCAAATCCTGCTATGTCAGCATGAGGTTGGTCTGTCTGTCTTAGGGGCAGTACCCCAAGACAAGTTTGCCTCAAGCATCCAGGACTCCTCTCTGTCCTCTCTACTCTGAGCCTTCCTCTTGCCACCAGCTGCTGTATCAAATCCACCACTAGCTTATTAAAAATCATGAGACTTGTGGGAAGTTAAACTTCAGCTGGTTGACAAGCTGCCCAGATCTCCCCCATGCCTCAGAAAGTCAGGTTACCCCTGCTAGGGAAATTAATCAATTATTTACCCCCATCAAATCCATTTCTTCATGTAATGCTATACAAACAAGCAGTATCTGCATAACAACACATGTTATAAGAAGCTTCTCAAGGCAAGCAAGCTGCTTCCAAGAGCTCTGCACCCAATGTCACAGACAGCTAATGCCAGGGACACTGAATGAAGTCTCTCTCCAGGAAACAAAGTATCACTCAGAAGCTCCCAAAGGGCCAAGGGAAGAGAAATAGATTTGCTCCCGAGATGAGCATTTTCTTATCAGTGTAGCACAGCAGACTGAGCCCCTACGTCAATCCCAACTCCATACAGACGTTATCTCATACCAGTCCACTATTGCAAAGCAGAAAGTCTTGGCTATCCCTAACAGATGGAAAAGCTAAAACATAAGAAAAGTTAAGTGACTTGCCCAAGGCCAGTGTCAAGGTGGGCTGAGATGTAACGGGCGAGAAGGGTGCCCCTCACCTCTGGGGTCACAGACCTGCCTCTGCTCATTTGCCTTCTGGGCTTCCACTTGCAGCTCAGCACAGCAGGGATACAGTGATTTGTACTGAGTAACTCTCAATGCATTATTTTCTTCTATGAATCTGCCCAATAAAGATTTTGAAACGACATAAAATTTTAGCTCCAAAACATACTTTGGCCAGAAGTTGCACAGCTCAGTAGCATGGCCCGCTGCACAGGGAGCAAGAATCAGATGTGCTGAGCCTGAATGCCCCATGCCCCAACGTGACTGCAGAGCCCTCAGCCCGGCGCTGGCAGAGCAGCAGTGCTTCGAACAGACTGCCCAGAGGGCAGGCTCATGACCACAGTGGGTCGGCACATCACAGTTTGTTCGCTGCCCACTTCCACACCAAGGAAGGAGGGCAGCAGTCAGCAACCCAGGCAGCAACCAAGCAGTAAGGAGTAGGAGGCTGGTGAAGACACAGTTTGTGCAGCTTACCTCTCCCAGGACATTAAGGCCCATTTCCACCCCACTGTAACTCCAGCAATAGGGAGATGACTCACAGTACATGCACCTCATCTAATCACAGCTGTCACCGAAGGCATGGGAGGAGCACAGCACCAAACAGCCACCTGCTAAATAGCAGCAACACAACACTTCAAGTTCAGTGGCAAGAGAAGTACACCTCTAGCACGAAGCACTCGCATTGAAGATCAGGCGGGGCAAGAGCCAAAGCACTTGCCATCAGTGCTCAAAGTTGCCTCAGAAACTGTAGTTCAAGCCAAAACCTCATGGCCTTACTTTATGTAAAGCCAGGCTGCTGCTTTACATAAAGTTTTCATTGCAAAATCTGCCCTTAGAAGAGATTATGCAAGACAATTTGAACAGTAGGAGACCCTGAAGTGTTTTCTTTGAGGACCCCAAAATTTTAAACTCTGACTCCAGGAAACTAACAGGCTGCCAGTTCCCGGCACAAAAGCAGCTTCTGAGCTCACAAGGCAGACAAGCAGAAGCTTCTCTATACAGCAAGAAGCAGGAAGGTGGCATAAAAATCACAACTTCTGCAGTAAGTGGCCTTCCCTACTTATGCCCCATGCTCTCCAGGTAACTCCTGTGCCACTCCTCACGTGCAGGTGCAGTCTGAAGATACTGAACATACTCCTGAAAGCTTTGCTAACTGCTGCAGAAAGGTGTTTTGCTTAAGAGAGGACCCCCAGTTTCAAACCATTAGCTTATACATTGCTTTGGGATCCTCTGAAACATCACTAGAAAGCACCAAACCTGATGATCACCAGGCTAATAGTTCAAAGAGAAAATAACAACAGTATCAACAGCAAGCACCAGCAGTGGGGTCTGATGCAGGATTTACTGTGCAAGGACCTTGCCTGGTGGAGCAGCACAACAGAGATGCTGGAAACACAGATGCAACACACCTCACACAGTGTTCCTGCCAGGTGCAAGTAGCGACATTCCTGTGAGAGCAGAGTAAGATTCAATGGGAAAAGGACAATCAAATAGGTACTGCTGGGTACTTCGAGTGACTCAGCCCTACCTCCTGCCTGTGGAAGGACCGTGGGCCAGGCGAGGACAGTCCGGTGAGGTCCCTGCGGGATCCTGCAGGGCTCCCAGTGCTGACAGGCCCAGCCCGTGATGAGCTGATGTCCCAGCTTTGCAGCCTGGGGCATCCTTCAGCCTCGCTGCTGGGTCCGGCTTAGCTTTATATTCTTTCTCTTCAGAGACAGGAGCACTGTCTTGCTTTTGTGATTTATAACCATCCACGTGCAGGTAGCTCCACTGTGAACACTTCTGCTCCAGTCAGTGTCTGTTTGGCCCCTTGTGCCATGCTGTGACGGACCTTGCATGGTAACAGCAATCCTCTGTGCTGTCCTTTTACCATTTGTTTACCCCACAGCTTTACCTACATTTGCATGCAGCTGTTTACCTACATTTTGCATGCAGCTGACTCCAACTCAGTTTTCCCTGTTGTCCGGCTGTTTTGGTTTTTTTTAAAAAGAAAAGCAAGATACATTTGGGATTGAGGCTGAAGGCAGGATCTGGCAGCTTGAGCATGCTCTCTCCTGGGTACTGTTTCTGCACTGGAATTTCTGAACTTGGCAGGGAAATGGAAGAAAGAGACCCTGAAGCTGCTGGTCACAGATGTGGGAGAACGCTGCCTGAGCAGCCTGAGCCATACCTTGCTGCATCAGGGCCCTGCTCCTCAGGCTGCTCTGGGGCAGATTCATGTCTCCAAACCAGACACACCAAGAAACGGCAAGGGAAGAGGGACCTTTCTGTAGAGCAGAGACTGGGCTGAAAACACATATCTCCTTTAGCAAAGCAATCTGAGGCAACATGTGCACAGTACGTGCAATAAACATGAGAGCAGCATCAAAGTGAAATTACTTGCTTGGGCATAGGGAAGGGTGACACAGACCAATTGCCTAGGAACTCCACACCAAGCACAACTCTATCCCCCCCCCCCGCTAGTCGGTATTGTACTAAGTTATAACAATGCACTTATGCTGATGTAAAAAGTGCTAAAGCGTTGAAGTACTGAAGCCTGAACAACAGGCCCCAAGCTGAAGCTGCTAACTTAGTCTGTAATCATTGACTCACTAGTGAAAGATGGAGCTTAGACAAAATATAATCAGGAGTGAGGAGAGAATGTATGCAGCTTCCCTTGTTTAGCCTGTTCAAGGCTGAGAACCCAAGGATCTGGCCTTGTTAGAAACTCCCTTGGTTTCCCCCCCAAGCCCTGGCCAGGCTTTGGGTGGAATCCAACAGGAGAATGAAACCAGAAATTTTCCACTCAAAACAAAGGTGCCAGCTGTTCTGGCCTGTCGATCTCTGGTCTGTAAGGCTGGGCCTGTTTGCAGCGACTTTGGCAGCCTCACCTACGGGTGGAGGCACCGCTCAGGATTTCCCCCTTGCCGGGACAGGCTCTGCAAACCCTCGCTGTAACCAGGGCTGCCCAGCCACTGCGGGGCTGGGTGATGATAACATATGCAAGTGGTGATGTATTTGTCTTAATCTCCATTCTCTCTCTCGTGTAGTAATGATTTAATGCATTACCCTGTATCCTCCTGTTTGCTGCTTTAAGTGCACTATTCTGCTTTTTCTTACTGCATGTTTTCTGTATTACACTGTTATCACTAGTAAGATACGCCTGCTCTTTTCACTCTAGTGTCTGAGTTTAATTGGTATCCTTAATCAGCAGAATAGATGGGCACCACAGCATTTCTCCATCAATACAAACACTGCTGCGTGCTCTGCAGGTCACAGCAACCCTGCTATGAGGGCACCCAGAACCCATTTAGGCTATTTGGTGAGGATAAGACAAACAAAAACCTGGGTCATGCAGGAGCAGGAGGCAGCTGGTAACAAGGAAGGCTGGGTAGCCAGTCTCTGTGCTGCACCAGTGACTAAGGTGTGCTCCAGAGCTGGGCAGGGCTCCCAGGACAGCAATGTGTGACTGAGGCACACACTCAGCCCTCTGTCCCCTCCACAGCACTCCCATCCCTACCAAAGAGCAGGGGCCAGGGAGAGGTGGCAGACAAGAAGAGGCAGTTAGCCCCCTGCCCTCCTCTCCAGCCCTGCTGGCTCCATGGGGATGCCCCCCGCAGTCACAGCTGGAGGTACATGGAACTAGGAGCAGCGGTTATCCCAGACATCAACACAGGCTGCAGGGGAAGATGCTTGAAGCAGCCACACAGGCTCTCCTGGGTGAGGGTCCTTAAATCCCCTCTGCAGAGGGATTAGCCAGCCAGGGCAGTTTTTGTAAGAACAAAATCAGGTGGAGCAAAGAAGACTGGTTGGATACACCAGGAAACTTCATTTTATGGTTGACACAGACCCTCTTCCCCTGAAGCACTGTAGATCCTCCCTATCAGATCTGGCACGGGGCACTGACGTGTGGAGAGCAACATCATCTAGTTGTTACAGACCACAGGTTTTGACCACATCTCCCCAAGGCCCAAGACATGATGTCTTAAAGCCCCTTGTACTCCTACATGACAACTGCCAATGAGGGAAGCAACAGAAATCCCTTCTCTGGGATGTCCACGGGTCATGTTCACCACGTGAAAGGTAGGTTCTGCAGATCACAACATAAGATGCAGTTTCAAAACCACTTTCTAGTACAGAAAGGAAACACTTAGACATACCTAGATGTTAAGGTTCTTAATGGCTTCTAGAATATTTACTGCCCATTGACTGCTATGTTGTAAACACAGTTGCTAAGATGCAGCTGTACAATGAGACACCATCTTGAGAAGTGGCCTTCCACTGCAGCACAGGATCTGAGAGCAGCTGGCTGGGCAGTTACTGCACTGAGACTCAGGGCAGCAGCAACCTGCAGCACTGCCCAGCCCAGCTGTACTCACAAGTACACCCGACACAAAAGTACTCTGCAACTTGGGCTACAAACTCCTCCCTCAAATTGCTGACCATTTCAGAGCCCCTGAAGCTCCTCCAGCCCAACCATGAACCTCACCTTGACCGTTCCCAACTCCCCCAGATCCCTCAGTGCTGGGTCAGCCCGACTCTTCAACCCTTCCAGGGATGGGGACTTCCCCCCTGCCCTGGGCAGCCCATTCCAATTCCCAACAGCCCCTTCTGCACAGAAATCCTTCCTCAGAGCCAGCCTGACCCTGCCCTGGGCAGCTTGAGGCCATTCCCTCGGGGCCTGATGCTAGCTCCTTGGCTCCAGAGACTCATCCCCCCTCTCTGCACCCTCCTGGCAGGGAGTTGCAGAGGGCCAGGAGGTCTCCCCTCAGCCTCCTCTTCTCCAGACTGAACCCCCCCAGTTCCCTCAGCCGCTCCCCAGCAGACCTGTGCTCCAGACCCTGCCCCAGCTCCATTGCCCTTTTCTGGACACGCTCGAGTCATTCAATGGCCTTTTTGGGGTGAGGGGCCCAAAACTGAACACAGTAATTTCACTCACATTTTCCTTACAACCAACACCACAAATGCAGTGGGGACAAGCTGATTTGCACATGGCATCAGGCACCTGTCAGCAGACTGGCATCCCCGGGCTGTCAGTCAAGCTGTGCTCTGGGTACCCACAGCTCCATGGCTCCATTTCCTTTGGGGAAACTGGGAAAGAGATTAACAGGGACTAAAATCAACTCCATTCACAGGGCAGATGTGTCAGTGATCTCAGCAAAACCAACAGGTTGGCCAGGCAAGTCCATTTGTGGGGTGAAGCTCCTGTGACCGAAAGCTCATATTAGGATGCAGATGCATCCCCATTTACCTTGGTGGTCAGTCCCGGGCACATCTCTCCACACTGCAGGGTGGTCACTTCAGGTATAACTGGCCCAGTTTGCTGCCCAGAGAGCTATCCTGGTTTCCCTGATCTCCCTCCTGCCTCCTCCTTCTACAATGTCCATCAAGAGCAACATATTCAGTGCTAAGGTGAGAACCCCAGCTCCGTTCTCCTGTTTCACTTCTCTCAAGACACAAACACCCCTTCACAGGCTGTATGATGCATCTGACCAAGCTTGTGACCAGCTAAGCTCCACAGAGCACCCTGCTACATCATCCTGCCTCACCTGTGAGCATGGATCATCTTCCCTGCAACAAGGAGCAGCTGCCTGCTCCTACAGGTGGCAGAGAAGATCATCAGTGAGCTATCAAGTGATCATCAGCAGGTGTCAAAGCAGAGAGGTGCTCTCAATCGTGGCAGTGCTGTCCCTGTGCTCAGGCCCAGTCCAACTGAATAACATACAAGTAGCCCCATCAACACCAGCCAGGTGCCTCAGTGTCCACATCATTAAGACAAATGAACGCCAGACAGACAACCCACCAGGAACACTGCTTTCAAGCAGACACATTGCCAGCAACAAACCTCCAGTGTTGACAGCTGAGAAGCACCTGTATTGCTCTGCAGAAAACCACAAGAAGACACAGGTGTAAGTGACACATTTCCTCTTTTAAGAATTTCCTTCTCTTGTCCAGCTGCTTTTCTCCTCTGGCAAGACCTTAAACAAAGCCATCATCTCTCCCAGACCTCCTTGGTGCCCCCAGCTCTCCCAGGCCAGCATGCCCATGGCCCCCAGTTACAGCTGGCAGGAGCAGGGGGGCTGACATGTCTGTGGCAGCACAATCAGGCAGCAACTCTGCTCTGATGGAGGGTTGCCACACTTCCCTCCACCCCTGCTTTCAATCACTTCAGGATTATCAAGGACCCTGGGAGGTTTTCAAGGATGCTCTTTTCTGTGTGCTTGCTGTTAGTGAAATATTTAAATGAAGTCAGAGAGTGTCCCTGGAGGAGCTGAGCAACCAGTCAAGCCTCTCATCTGAAGCCCAGCCCAGGACACCAAGCAGTTCTGGGCATTTCCAAGCCAACCAGCAGCCATGCTGCCCCATCAGGAACTTGTGGGGTGGCAGCTGCCTGTCCCAAATGATGGAGGTCTCTGCAGGTAAAAGTTGAAAGATCACTGACAGAACTACAGGTGTGACAGCCATAGCCAATTTGGTCCCAAAACATCAGCTTGAAGAGGAGCCTCTGTCAGGTGCAAAAGAGCCAAGCAGAAAAGATCCAGCATATGGAAAATCCCTGCTGAGGAGGGATGGGGGCCCAGATGCATTTCAGTGACTGCCCTGGTCATGGGAGAGTGACTTTGGGTAAGGGACCCCTGGGACCCCCAGCTGGGTCTGCAGACCAGGGCAACAAAGAGGAACACAGAGAGACTTGAATTGGTCTAAGGACCTGCCTTTTTCAGACCCAAACTCATAGAAACACTGTGTTCTCCAAAGCACAGCCTGACATCACTCTGTAGGTCATTTAATGCAATGCAAGATATTTGTTCCCTTTGTGCTCCTTGGGAGGGATCTTCTAGAAAAGACTTGTGTGATCACACTGCCTCCCCATGTTTGTCCTGCCTTGGACAATTTTGGGGCTCACTTGTCATTTCAGCCACATTTGACAGATGGGTCAACACCTCAGAGGTGCATTGTTTTGTGAAAAGAGGTGCATATGGGGAAGTGAGAGCGTTTGTCCTCCCAGTACGAGATGCTTCAGCCTTTAGCAGACATTTGAGAATCCACACCCCAGAGCAGCTGCCACAAGGTCCAGCAGTGAGAGAGGCTCTGATAGGAGCTTGCACCTTCTTGACACCATGAACAGCATAGCATCATACCCAACTGGAAGAAACCCTTGAAGAGAGACCCTGGTCAGCACAGGGACTGCTCATGTCTGCCAAAATATCTGCTGCAGCTCCTCTTGCCAACATAAGACAACGTGGGACAACCAGAAGCCTGCTGACACGAAACAGAGGACCACAGAGTTGGGTCCTGCCACAAAAGGAAAGTTTATAGCTTGAGAAACTGTGTGCACAGACCCTTCTCATACCATAGAGGAGGAAAAATGTTGATGTGTCACTCCACAGGCACTATGGCTTACTTTGGTCCTTTAAACAAGCCTGAGGTTGCTTTTGAGCCCTGTCCCACATCAATGCCTGTCCCTCCCACCAGCCTGCCACACAGCTGTGCTGGCCATGCACACCCATTAGCAGCTGCATCCAGGACCTCCTCCTCGAATATCCCTGGATTTGGAGGAGTCCTTTGCAGAGTAAATGCACAACAACAAACACCTGCCAGAAGTGCATGGGCTGCTCAGTTTAAGAAAAGACGACAGTGAAAGTGCAATTTCTGGGGGGCAGAGCCTCTCTCCTGCACTCTTGCTGACATCTTCCCCAGGCTGCAAAGCAGCCAGGTGGTCCCTCTAGTTCATGCCCACTCCTGCCTGCAGTGTGGAGCTGTGGGTCCTGGCAGCAGCCTCCCACCAAGCACCACTGGCAGATCTGGTGCACCCCAGAGCACCGATTGTGCCATCTTCCGAGGCTGTGGGGTCCAGAGCCACGGCCTGGCAGCCCATGAGCTGCTGGTCCAGACAGCGAAGGTGGCAGCCTGAGCCAGCCTCGTGCCTGGTCAGCTCTGTGGGGCCCAGCCCCAGCTCACGCCGCTGCAGCAGCGCAGCCACGTCACTCCTCAGCTAAATGCCTCACGAAGGTCACTGTGCCACTAGACCTGACCTCCTAAAGAATCTTATCAGGAGGCTGGTGCAGTACTACTACTTCACACCGTACATGCATGTTCTGCTTTGGCAAGCCTGCACATGGATTGATGTCAGCAGTTGGTCACCCAGCTGGTACAAAACACACGATGCCTCCTGCATCCAAGGCTCAGCACTGCACCAGGGCGCTCCCAGCTCACCCCGCTCCTCAGGGACGTTGTTTCTTTGTATCTCCAGTGCCAACATGCTGATCTCTGGCTCAAAGCACCAGCCAACAGAGCCCCAGGAACACCCACCCAGTACTTTACAGGGATAGGAGCAGCAAAAGGCAAGGTCAGACCTTTCCTCTCATGACCACCAGCCCCCAAAAAAAGATTAGAGTAAGCACAGCCTCTGCAGGGAGGCCTTCTCCCAGCCAGACACTGCAGCCCTCCATATCACATCCCCTGTGAGCTGAGACCTGCCCCACAGCATTTTCCTGGGCTATGACACTTCTGCAGTCCAGAAGAAATCCAGCTGCCGCTCAAAGGCATGGCCGCACCTTCCCCTGCTTCCGCTGCCTCTGCACTGCACCAGCCTCGCACTGACTGTCTTGTGAGCCAGACCTGAAAACCAATCCCTCAGAAAAATTAACTCAACAGGAGGAAAGGGGAACTATTTTTCATCTGGCTCAGCTGCCTGGTCCTGCTCTTTATCCAACAGCGCAAACTTGCGCCTGGGAGGGACCCTGACAAGCACCTGATCAGGAGGGGGTGCCCCAACTCCTAGCTCCGACCTGAGCATACACAAGACTGAGTGACCAGGTAAACTTGGCCTTGCTGCAATTACAGGGCCAGCTTCCCACTTCCATTGCCTTTTTTGGCCTCTGCAGTACACAGGCCAATGTCCAACATTCCCCTTTTTAAATCCTTGACCACCTTCTGTATTTTTCTCCACTTGCTCCATACGCTGAAGTGTAGGGACCTCTTCCAAAATAAAGCTGCATTTTTTTGTCCTAGGGAATGCTCCCAGGCTGTTAGCTGAAAGCAAGAGAGAAGATGCACTGTCCAAATACACCATGTCCTTGCTCTCAGCTCCATGTCTCAATGCTATTTCATGCAGTCACAGCAAGCAGCCAGAGGAGCATGGAAAACAGGAGCCAGGCAGCTCTGCCAGGAACCACAGCATCAGGCAGAGGAGTCAGCGAGGCTGCATTTGGCCAATACTCAGGAGTTCCGCAGGTGAACACTGACAGCGCTCAGCCTCAACTATGGCTCATCAGGGAGTTGAGTTGCCACCCACAGAGCCAAACCACCCCACTGCTGCCCCAGAGAGCCAGGAGCTGAGCAGCAATGCAGACCTGCTGGGGATGCCTCTGAGCATGTAACAGTTACTGCTTGAGCTCAAAGGGGCTCTGGGAATTTTTATAAACCAAGATACACAGATACTACTTCCTCCAAAGAGAGAAACTTAAGTTACACAATTACTATGTGCAAGGCTATTTAGGACTTACTATGCACTTAACCCCTCTTTTTATTTTCAATACATTTGAATGTTCCATTTCCATCCCGCAGGCTAGGACAAAAGGACCTTTACACCAGCCATTCTTTAGCTGACACAGTCCACAGAAACAGATCCACAGAAAGGCAGCACAATGCCACACGTTATTAGAGCAACACATGCTGCTCAGTACCTGACCAATGTCTCCACTTTCACAGAACAGGAATTTAGAAACAACCTGGGGCAGATGGAAGAAGGATTTACATAATTTTAAATGAATAGACAAAATACAAATGCAGGATGGCACTGTTTGGTCCAGGGGTCACTCTAAGCAGCCCCTTCTCTTTTATCCCACCTTGGTGGGAGATTGGAAGGAGCTTGTCCAGCTGGAGCTGCCATGGGCTGACAGTCTGAAAGTACCACGAGAGAGACTCCCCTTTCTCAGTTTAGTATCTTTGTATCTGTTTAGTATTATTGACAGGGGAGGGACAAAACCAGACTGTTTCTTTTTTCAGATCCTGTCCCATCCACCAGCAAGTATTTTCATTTCTGAAGATACTAAGAGCCTTTTTAAGGGTATTATTTTATTAGGATTGGTTTACACAGAAGGCTTTGGTGAAAAACTTTTTCCTCACCCCAGGACAAATGTCGTTGCCAATGTCACCTCATGGATTTTCCTAACCTCTTCATAAAGCTTGGCAGTGAGTAGAGATCCTTTTTTTCTTTCTTCTTCCCTTAAAGCCCTGGTTTACACACCTCACAACCATTACTTGTAGCCTAACTGCAAAACTCTTCAAGACAGAATTTAGGTAAGCAGTACTCTAAAAATAAGATCTTAATCCTGCTGCGTGCAGCACAGCCTTCAACCTGAGCCCACATGGGATCTTCTCCAAGGACCAGTTCCAGCCTCTCCTTTCCACTGCAAAAGCAAACCATTTCCTACTAATGTGTTTAGTTTTCTTTGTATCAGCTCATATTTTAAACTAAGACATCTGAAGATTATATAGTGGTTTATGAAGTAGAAGATCCTCCTATGTCATAGCCTTTTCCTCTCTGGGGATGTGGGAAGAAAATTGCTTGAGCCTTCCTCTTTGAAGAAATAAACCTGTTCAAGAGCATCAAGCCAGAACAGTCTTAAAAAAGACAGCCCCTACAAAAGTCAGGATTTCAAAGTCTTAATTATAATGACACTTTACTGAAAGCACTACCCTGAGAAGTGCAGGAAATTAAATTAAAAATAATGTAATTGAAATATTGCTCAGAACTCCTCTAATATTTTAATTCTATTAAATTCATAAAGAAAGCATAATACTGTTTAAGTCCTAACACACTAAAAACATTTTTCAATTAAGTAACCAGTCAGGAATAAATCTTATGGAAGTTTCAGGCAAGAAGTAGGCATGATCTCTGTACCTCCTCAGGTGGGAACCTGAATACAAAATCAGTCCTAGAGAAGCCCTGGCCAGAAGCACTCATGAATTCTCAGTCTGGTGTTATGCTTTCATCACACAAAGACAGGCTAGATCTGACTTCCACCCAGTTTTGTTATCTTGTGACTGCCTGAACCAAACCGATCTCCCATGCTGTGGTTGCCTCTGTGTGGTTGCAGATGGTAATAGTAGACATGAAAATGCTGCTTCTGCAGCTTCCCACCCATGATCACATCCTTTAAATCTTCTTCCTGTAACAGCTCTTTTGGTCTTCAGTAAGCTAAATCCGTTCCTTTATAAACTTCTATGACATTCACAGACAGCTTGTAAAATCTCTGAAACATTTTGAATAAGCTGACAGTGTACTGAACCTTTGATGTAAAACCAGGCCCTTTTTTTGCATGTTTATACAGCACTTGGCACAAGAAGATCAAGCTAAATCATAGGTACTGCTGAGTTTACTTCAGCCATACTAGCAGGTTCAGCCCTGTTTGCAGTGCAACTTTCTCCATCTTTCCCTTCAAGGCCACATGCCATTTGGGGTGTCTGCTGTGGCCTCCCTCTGGAACAAAAACCTAAAGAAACCACCCATTAAACCATTTCATACTGCTCCTGACTTGCTCTCAGAGCAGCCTAAGTGCCTTCTCTCCCCAGTATGCCCAACCACAGGGCCACCAGTGTATCACCACCATGGGAACACGCTCCAGTCTTGTCACACACATGCTCCTGCTGAGACTTAGGGGCATCATCCAGCCCTCCTCTCCTCTCCTCTGCTGCTCTCTCACTCACCACTCCTCACCAGAGATACGGATCCTCAACCCGATTTCCTCCTGTGCTACATCCCCACTTCCCTCATCTCCACTGGGTACTAAGCTGAGCTGCCATGGCCCCTGTGAGCTGGCTAGGCTGGGCTTTCACTCCTCCCCTGCTCTTTCCTTCTTACACCTCACAGAGGGGACCTGAGGTACCACCACTCGTCCTTGCAAAGGGCAGCACCAATTCAACACCCAGAGCAAAAGCTATAGAGGTTTGAAGAACAGAAGCCAGCAGCAAGGTCAGGGTGGAGACACCCCATCCCCTCCCCGCAGATCTGCAGGGACAGTGTGGAGGCCTAGCGCCGGCCCTGAGCCTCGCTGCCTACCTGCCCCCTCCAGAGTCCTAAAGGCCAGTCAGCACGGACAGCACAGCTGCTGCCTGCAATGGCCGGCAGCACGGCGGGGAGCTGCGAAACACCACCCGTCCCCTCAGAGGGGCACACAGACCCCTGACAGAACCCCTAAGCCTGCTCTGGGAGCCGCCCCTGCTCCCTGCACCTTCTCCGGGGACCAGGAGGCGAGGCCTGCCCCAGCCCCGCCTGCCCCAGCCCCTGCCGCAGCGCCCCCTTGGGTCAGTGTTTTGCAG